CTGAGAAGGACCCAACTGAAAAAGAGAACTACAGACCAATCTCCTTAATGAACACAGATGCAAAAATCCTCAATAAGATATTGGCAAATAGGATGCGGCAAATCATAAAGAAGATCATATACCATGACCAAGTGGGATTTATCCCAGGCATACAGGGATGTTTCAATATACATAAATCAATAAATGTAATACACCATATCAATAGAGCCAAAAGTAAAAATCACATGATCATTTTTATAGATGCAGAAAAAGCTTTTGATAAGGTCCAACATTCATTTATGATAAGAACCCTGCAGAAAACTGGAATAGATGGTCTTTACCTCAATATAATAAAGGCCATCTGTGACAAACCAACAGCCAATATCATACTAAATGGCAAAAATTGAAGGCCTTTACTTTAAAATCAGGCACAAGACAAGGATGTCCCTTATCACCACTCCTATTTAATATACTACTGGAAATACTGGCCAGAGCAATTAGACAAGAGAGAGAAATAAAAGGCGTAAAGACAGGAAAAGAAGAAGTAAAGCTATCATTATTTGTACTTGACAGGATACTCTATATAGAAGATCCCCAAAACTCCAATGAAAGACTCCTAGATATAATAAATAAATTCAGTAATGTAGCTGGATATAAAATCAATACTCAAAAATCAATAGCATTCCTATACACTAACAACAAAGTCACAGAGAGAAAAATAAGAGAAGCCACACCTTTCACACTAGCAAACAAAAAAAGAAATATTTAGGAATTACTCTCACAAAAGAAGTGAAAGACCTATACAGGGAAAATTATAATACACTGAAAAATGAAATTGAAGATGATCTCAGGAAATGGAAAATCCCTTGCTCATGGATAGGAAGAGTAAATATTGTGAAAATGGCCATTCTCTCCAAACTTTTATACAGATTCAATGCAATCTCGATAAAAATACCATCAACATACCTCTTAGAACTCGAGAAATCACTCCTGAAATACATCTGGAGTGAGAAGAGGCCTAGCATAGCAAGCACATTTCGAAGCAGCAAAGGCAAGGCAGGAGATATCACAATTCCTGACTTGAAGTTGTACTACAAAGCAACTGTAGTAAAATCAACATGGTACTGGAACCAAAACAGAGCTGAAGATCAGTGGAATAGATAAGAAGATAACAACCACAACTACAAACACACTAAACCACCAATCTTCGACAAAGGGGCCAAACATGTTCACTGGAAAAACGACAGTCTCTTTAATAAATGGTGTTGGAAAAACTGGCTCTCCATATGCTGAAAACTAAAACTAGACCCATGCCTATCACCATGTACTAAAATAAAATCTAAATGGATCAAAGATCTAAATATTAAAACAGAAACACTAAATCTGTTGGAAGACAAATTGGGTAAAAACCTTGAAGACATAGGAGTAGGTAGAGAATTCATGAATAGGACTCAAACTGCACGGGAAATACTTCCCAGAGTCAGTAATTGGGATCACCTCTTATTAAAAAGTTTTGGCATGTCAAAAGAAATCTCCAGCATAGTGAAAAGAAAACCCACAAACCGCAAAAAAGTCTTAGTGAACTGCCCCTCAGACAAAGGACTTCTGTCTAAAACTTGTAAAGAATTTTAAAAAATCAGACGCCCAAAATTCAAAGACCCAATCCAAAAGTGGGCATCTGAGACGAATAAACAATTCTCAGATAAAGAAATACACACAGCAAATAAATATATGAAAAAATGTTCATCATCATTAGTCATTAGAGAAATGCAAATTAAAACTACACTGAGATTTCATCTTACTCCTGAAAGAATAGCCAAGATCAAGAAAACCACCAACAACAAATGCTGGAGAGGCTGTGGGGAAAAAGGAACTGTCATGCACTCGTGGTGGGAGTGTAGACTAGTGCAAACATTGTGGAGGTCAGTCTGGAGATTTCTCAGAAAACTGGGACTGGGAGCCCCATTTGACCCAGCTATACCACTTCTAGGCATATTCCCACAAGAACTGAAAGCATCATACCACAGTGATATATGTGCACCCATGTTTATAGCAGCACAATTTGTAATAGCCAGATCTTGGAAACAACCTAAGTGTCCATCAACTGAAGAATGGATAAAAAATTTGTGGTATTTTTATACAATGGAGTACTACTCAGCTATAAAGAATGATCACATTGAGACATTTATAAATAAATGGACACAGCTTGAGACCATACTCATAAGTGAAATAAATCAAACTCACATGTATAAATACTGAATAGTTTCCCTAGTGTAAGAAATGATAAGAATACAAAATAGTATGTGGTAATCATGATTCCCAGTCATATTGGTTTGAAGCCATTGAATGTTTTCACTCATTAATTGCAATGGTTTTAACCTGGGTTGTTCGATTTTAGTATCTGTGATAGTACGAATAGCTATTTTGAAGAAAACAACACAACATAAAAGCTAGTGCTGATTTAATATCATCTTGTTTTGAAATCCCATCAAGCTGTGGTACATCTGTTTTCACTGGTTTTAACAAGTTGGATCTTACTATGTTTCACTATATGAGATAGTATAAACAAAATTCTTTATAGGCAAAGAGAGAATATAGATAATATTCGTTTTTTATTGGCTGGTTCTAAATACCCTGTAATTCTCTCATTCTCATGAAGGGCTTCACACTGTCTTGATATGCTTGATGCTATAGCATACAAAGTTACTCAAATAATTCAAGGAAAGAGGCACTATGGTGACTACTATTATGTTAGATTATCTGGTGGTGAAACACAATGATGCTTAAATTGTTTGGTTCTGACCTGTGTTGTTCTGTTATAATGTCCTCTTTTTATCTCAATTTCCCTTTTTTAAAATTAATCTATTTTCTCTCATTTTTTAATTAAAGAAAAACTAAATTTAAAAATAGGACATATTATAGTAACTTTTTTGTTTTCCTATTAACCTGATTTGAACTCCAGTATTGCTCTCCCCATCTTGTCCCGTCTGATTATTCTATATTCTATTTTGTTTGATAGTATCATGTTTGAGGGTATAGGCAACCACTTTGAAGGCAATAAGATATACTATGATGCCCATTATGGTTTCACTATTACCTTTTTTTGAAGTCCTGTAAGGTCTCCATTGTAGGTTTTACTGGCCTTGTTCTGTACTGTTTTAATTCTATTATACCTGATGATATAGGCAACTCAATTTAAAAATAGCAAGAGGCACAATGGTAACCACTCTTGATCACCTGGTATGCTATTTTTGCATCATGTACTATGCCCACCCTTGTCTTCCAACTGACTCTTTTACTTAGTCACATTTGGTTTTATTCTCTTCAAAAAAAGTAATAAGAACTGTGGGAGTAATAAAACCCAAAAAGTGTAATTGTTATTGTAAAAAAAGAGGAAAGGAAGATGGACTAAGGATATAACTGCAGGTATATTTGTGTAGGATGGAAAACCATATTACTGAGCTTTTGTTGGATCATTGAACGGAACTGTCTCCAATATCACTGCATGAATGTCCACTTTATATGCTTTAATTTCATAATTTGGACAACTGTTTCTAGGAAGTCAGCATGTAACCTATTAACTAGTGATTTCTTACTGTATATTTTTTCTTGAAATTCTGTATAACTTGTACCCTTTTACTGCTTTATTTTTTTATGTCCTTTCTTTTTTCTCTTTACATAAAAAATAAAAAAATGATTCAGGAACAAGAAAACACTGAATAAGCCTTAGCACTTATCAGCCCTTGCCTATCTTCAAGTCTTACATAGGACACATAATATGCACACTTTTTTCCTTTCCAACTTTCTTTTGACAGCCCTTTGTCTGAAGTTGCCTTTATGTTTTCTCATTCCTGAGCAGTGGGTTAGTACATAATAGAATTACCAGCTTATCATTACATTCATCCCTTTGAAGACATTTTTAACTGTTTTTGTTTATTGTTGTTGGAAAGTCTGGTCTGTCAGTCTAACTGTACATCCTCTATCATTAATTTGTTGTTTTTCCTCTGATTTCTTCAAACAACTTCTTTTTGCATCTGAAGATGCCTACACTTTCATACAACCTACTGAAAACTGTCTTTTCTCAATTTAAGGATTTACATCTTCAGTAATTCTGGAAAAACTTAACCTCATTTCCTAGATTGCTTTTTACAGTCTATTTTTATTTCACTGAGATTCCATGAAATATACACTGGACCTCCTCACTTTATCTTCCCTGCCTCTTACAATCTTTATAGCATTTTCTTTATTAATTCTTCACAATCTGTTTCAGGTTTCATAATTTCTACTTTAGGTTTGTGATCCAAGTTTTCATCTTGCTATGCAAGTGTAACATAGCATTCGATACATTGGAGATTACATTTTTCATTAACATTGTCACTACCAAATGTCCCCAAAAAGGAGAATTACATTCATCTCCGACAGACCAGAGTTAAATAATGCATGACACTATGTAATTTCATTAGATTAGTGATTTCTTCACATCCTCTTAACACACCATTAGCTTCAATGGTCTGGGTCACTGGTTGTGTCAAGACCAGTGCTTTCAGCAGGGACACACTCACCTCTTGAGGACATTTGGAAATGTCTGCTCATTTGGGCTTTTGCAACTGAGGGAACTAATGCTACTACTGGCCTCTAGTGGGAAGAGGTTATAGATGCTCCTTAACATCCTCAAGGCACTGCCCAGCCTCCCTGTTCCCAAAGAACCCAATCCAAAGTGTCCTTAGTGGCAAGATTGAAGAAAGCGCCCTGACCCTTACTGCTGATCACATCTGACAGACCTCCTAGCTATGAGAATGAGTATTTTCCATGTGTATATGACAACTGTTTTCCATACCTGGGACCAGCCTGGAGTTGGTCCTTGCTGACGTGAGCTGGTACATTCCAGCCAGCACACTTCCCTAACTGTGGATTTTGGCAGCACCTGAACCGGAAGTGCTGGGAGGCTGACTTCCGGAAATGAAACCCTTCAAGGGAGAGATGCATTGATGGAACCGAGCTCAGGAGCTTGAGACACAAGCTGACAAACCAAAGCACAGATTTTATTTGCAGTGAGGACATGAACACTCCAAGTACACACCTGCATAGTAATTTTTTCAAGCACCCTGCACTCAGGACTTCCCATATATCTCAGCCCTCAGTCCCATGCTTTCCTATGAGATTTAATAAACATCTCACACTTTTACTGACTTGGCCCTTAGGAAGGTCATGGTCCAAAAGCATAGGATGGCATTGAGGAGGGACAGAGCAGCAGTGACAATCCCCAGTGGGAACACATGGGATAAGTGTTTTTTGATCACATCCTCTTTGTTAACAGGAATCTCTAGTGGGAAATCAAGGGTGCTTTGGCCAGAAATGTCCATGATGTAGTTCCAGCCCACAGCCACAGCCACAAAGACAGAGTTGAGTAAAAGAAGGAGGGCTGAGCTTCTGGAATAGAGTCGTACAAAAGCTGAGTAGGTGCGCTTCGACGTGCTGACCAGAAAGGCCACTAGGCAGAATATCAGGGTCACTGGCTGCATAAAATTCACCAGCACTATTAGATCCTTTGCATATTCAAGCTCAACTGCATGGGTCCACCCACTGTGGATATTTGAGTCTATTAGCATATCACGCACTAAGCCAGAGTCATTCGACCTGAGATAGTACTGAGCCTTCCAAAGGCCAATGAAGGCAATGGGAACGACCTGGCTGTCAAATTCCCACACTCGCCAGAATACACTGGTTACTAGGATAACGCTGAACACCCAGGCCATAGCACTAAACAGGACAGTCAGGGCGTAGAAGTATTGCTTCACTCCAGGAAAACTGCAGAGGATGAGGAGGCAGCAAGTCAAGCCAGGAACACCAAGAAAAGGAAAAAACAGAGCATGAGTTATAGTTAGAGAGAGGTAAATATTTACATGTTGTCCATGTATGAAAGTTACATTGAAATGTTCTATATACATACTACTATCATAAATATTTTAAATCAGAAAAAGAAATTTAGCACCTATATGTGGTTGGACATCTGTAAATTCCATCCCTCAGGAGGTTGAGGCAGGAGGATCTAGAGTTCAAGGCAAACCCAGCCTACACAGTAATTCGTGGCTGGTCTTGAATCCATTCTGAAGGAAGAATGGAAGGAAAAAGGAATGGAAGGAGGGGAGAAAGAGAGAAGGGGAGCAATCAAAGGGAGGAGAGCAAGGAAAGCAGAGGAGGGAAGGAGAGGGATGGAGAGTGGAGGGAAGGAAAAAAGCCTAGGAATCCATTACAGCTGCAGGAGTATGAGCTGTGGGGATTTTGGAAGATAGTCTTTCAAAAGTGGAAATGTAAGTAGGTATACACATATAACTGTACGTACGTATTTGTGTGCAAGGTAGATAACTATACTACTAATTCTGTTAGTTCATCAAAAAAAAAAAAAACCAGTTGGTGCTGTCATTGTTTGATTGTTGATCATTTTTTATGCTTAGATCTTGTGACCTGAACAACTACTTCAAGATAACAATATGCAAAATATTAACTAGTGTTGATTTCTTACTGTTTTTTTTAAAATCCTGTATTATTTCTGTCCTTTTTTCTGTTTTTATTTAGAAATTTTAAAAAAAGTGGAAACATTCATGTCATATCTATCAACTCCAGTCTTGAGAATTCATACTAAAATAATAGTTTGTGCAAACATATGCAGCATTATTCAGTTCAGTGTCATTTGCAATAGAGAAAATTAGAAATAACAAAAATGCTTATAAATAGAGGGATGTCCAATAAATTATGGTATCTCCAAGACTGTAGTGGACTATTACTTGGCCCTTGCCAAGAACATTTTAAACCATATGAAATGTAGGAAGCAACAAACAAACAAAATACCCAAAATGAGTAAGATGTAGAACCAGAATGAAAAATAAAATGCATGGTGTGAACATATGTGTTAAATGGAAAACTTATTTGCTTTTCTACATACAAATAGATATGAACACATTTTTCTAAAACTTGAAAAGATGGACGCAAAAGGAATAATTCTAAGGAAATCAATTTGGTAGAGTAGCTTTTCATTCTTAGTCCAATATATTTCTGCAGCCTGTTTATTTATTTGCTTATTGGTCTATTTGTTTTTGCAGTAGTAGGAATTAAACCCAGAGCGTTCACTCACACTAAAAAGTGCCCTACCATGAGGATAAACCCTCAGCCTATCTGTAAATGCTTTGTAATGAGAAGTATACATAATTTATAATTACGGGTAGAGTGACGGTGACCTCACATGTACATGTGAAGTATCACACCTCGCCTATTCACACTTTTAACCCTGCTTGCTCAAAACCATACCTTTACATACTGGCTTCTTTGGGTACAGCTTAAAACAGTCCTGATATATTTTATATGCAGCAAATATCTCTTAGGAAGCACAGCTTCACACTACACATCCATACTGTGAACCCACCTATTTGACTCTCCTGTCCATTCCAATGTGTGTGTCAGGAATAATAAGAAATTTCGAGTTGGAGGGCATGCCCTGGTACTGATTCTGAAAAAGGTGGTGCTGATGCCTGACCAAGTGTGTGGACAATGTGGGTGCTGCCCATGCACAGCATTCTAGGGGCCTCCACATTCTCTTCTTCTTGTGTTTTCTGCTCTCTGCCAAAAGGCCCCACCGTGCCTCTGGCTGCCATGGAATGTGCTTCCTCTTTAAGAGAAGGCAGCAGCTGACTCTGAGAGTTGCCTTATGAGATGGGTGTGGAAGTGGTGGGCAGTTTTGAGAACTCACTGTCTAGAGCACTTCTTTGTCAAACGAGGTCTGAAGGAATGGATGACAGGATTAGGGAGCCTTGATGGAGAGAGGGCCTTGGGAAGGAGAATGCTGCAGTTGTCAGAAAAATGTGCTAACCTGGCTGAATCTGGGGCCACCCATGTCTCAAGTCAGTGGGGCAGGGACATACTGAATAAGAAGCCTACATGGAACTTATATACATATTTACCGACGGGAGTTACGGATCCTTTTCCACATTTGGGAGATGGAACAGTAAATATTCTTCAGAGAACAGGAAACATTCAACAAGGAGAGAGAAATGTCCAACCACCAGGAAGAGACCGACAAAAAGTGATGACCCACCTACAAGAAAAGAAGTACTTGTCATGGTTTATGTCTGTGGCCCCCAGGCCTCATGAGTTTGCATTGTGCATTTGTGATTGGTTCATTGTCTAGTGCTCGGATTGATGATGTCAGTGCTACACCCACATAGGGGTGGAGCCAGGATGTGATGTAATGGCAGGAAGAAGGTGTGTCTTGCTCTTTTCTGGTTCCTGTTTGCTGTTTGCAGCCGCCATGAACTGTGGCCCAGCCATGCCCGGCCTGCCTTGGAGTCAACTGAGTGTGGCCTGAAACCTCCACAAACTGTAAGAAATAAACCTTTCCTTTCCCCACTTTGGGCTTCAGGTATTTTGTCTCAGCGAAGAGTAAAAAGTAACTAAAACAGTACCGTTAGGTAAAATTTGAGGTAGTAAACATAGCCTAAAATGTCATTGCTCTCATAAAATATTCATATAGGTTTACTCCATGATTTGTATAAAGTCAGGGCCTTGTATAAATGCTGCATGGATATTAATACAGGCATGAGAGTCCAGGGACAGAGGTAAAATTATGATCCTTGTTACTGCTGGAGAGATAGAGCACAAAGAGGTTACATGACATAGACATAAGTGGCAATGCAGACTCCAGAGCCCTCCCGAGCCTTCTCAGAGTCCTCTAAAAATGAATCCTGAGAGAAGTAGCCAGAAAAATATAAAACCTTGGTTCCTTGTCTCATCTCAGATTGAATAAAAACCTCTTAAAGGACAAGTCTTTCACCCAAAAAGATGAAAATGAGAAACCTGAGCAAGCACATGGAGATATTAACACCCTGTGTGCTGCTGTGGGAATGTGAACTGGGTGCAGCTGCTGTGGAAACTGTGCAGCAATTCCTGGGAAAACTGACCACAGAATCACCATGTGACTTAGCAGTGCTACTTCTGGGCATGCACGCAAACTGGTCAAGGCTGGGCCTTGGGTATGTGTTTGCACTGCCACGATTGGGGCATTATGCACAGTAATTTAAAGGGGGGAAACTTCCCAAATGCCAGTTGAGGGAATGAATAGTTACACATGTGTGGGCTTTACATAGAACATGAAGGAAAAAAACTCTGCCAATGCTATAAGCTGCATGAACCTTGAAGACATCACAGTGAGTGAAGGAAGCCCATCAAAAGGGCAAATGCCAAACATTGCCCTTACACAAGGTACCATTAGGAGGCAGATATCCTAGAAACAGAAAGTAGAATGGTGCATGCCAGGAGCTGGGAGAAGAGTGAAGGGGAAAAAATGGAGATGCAGTTTCAGTGGGGCAACATGAAGGTCTAGAAAGATGGGAATGAAATATACAAGGTGCCAGAGATCTGTGCATCTCAAAATGTGTAAGATGGTGACCTTTATGCCACACATATTTTACCACAGAAGGAAAGCATCACTAGAAAAGTGGACAGTGGAAATTGAATCCAGGGATTTTATATTTGATTATGTCCCAACCCTTCCCATTTCTGCATAAGTAATTTTATCAGTACTAGAGTTCTTAGTGTATAATGTTTACAGTCCTACTGGGAAGCTAGCATGTGTACATAATACACCTTAATTCCTGTTTTCTTCCCCTTTCCTCCCTCCCTCACCACCCATCTCTCCATCCCTATCCTATTGTTTGTTTCCAGTACATAAAGCTTCCTTTCCTGGTGCAGACTTGGTTCACACTCACAGGACATCTGCATTCCCTGTTCATTCCTTTTTCTCCTCTCCCAGCCCCCTCCTGCCATTTCTTGTCCCCTTCTCTTGGAGAAAGCTCTGGGATTTGCTAAGTGGCTCCTTGCCTCCTTCCTGGGAGCACTCACTTGCTCCCCTCTCCCTGCCTGCTTCTTCAAGCACTACCATAACCAGCAGTGGGATGAGTCCCTCCCCATCATGCCACCCTCCTTCCCATCTGCATTTCCCATGCAACCTTTTATCTCAGCATATGGGCTGAACTGTGTCCCCCAAAAAACCATGCCACAGTCACAGCCCTAGACCTTTAGAATAAGACTGTCCTGAAGGACAGTGTCTTTACAAAGGTTATCAAGCTCAAGTGAGGCTTAGACGGGGCCCTAAACCAACATAGAGAGTCCTTAGAAGATGCAGAGAGGAGATGTGCAAGGAAGCTTTGTGCAGAGCTCCTACTATGTGCACAAACCTTCCTGGGTGCTTGGAAGAGGAGTCACTCACATGCCCTTAACTCAAGGAAGATTTATCCTGGAAGGAGGAGACATTGAAGTGACAAATGCAGATGAGGTGGAACAGGCCTGGGAGGCAGCTGCAGACATATGCTGCAGAGAGGATGCCACATGGGGGATAGGGGTTCTTTGAAGGAAAACTGTCCTAATTGTACCAAAAGAAGTACTTCTAGTGCTAGAAATGGGAGGAGAGGAGGCCATTGTGTGGAAGGAGCTGCCCTGAATGTGGGGTGCTTCTCAGGGTGGGGCCATGAAGAAAGGGAGAGGCAGGAGCAGCTAGGAAAGCCTGTGCTAGAGAGCACTGAGGGCTTGGGGGGTGGTGTGTAGCTCTAAGAGGAGGACAGGGTGGGGGGATGCTGCAGGTGACACCAGAAATGGCCTCAATGACCAGAAAATTCCAGCAGGTGCCATATGAAAAAAAGCAAAAACAAAAACAAAAAAGTCTTCTCATCACCCAAATCACCCTAAATGAGAGATTAGAAAGAGACAGTGAAAGTGGCAGCCAGGAATCCTGAGTGAGTTTAAGTGACTGTGGGCATTTCTGTTGAGATCACATTAAGCACTGCCCTTGGAGCTCCTGCACTGGTGAAAGCATTGAAATGCAGCGATTGGATGTGTTGTAGAAGATGCAGATTCACCTGCATAGGAGCCAGGATGCCTACTGCCTTGGCTGGCTCACTTGGAGAAGGTGGCTCCTTCTGGTGCCCAAGGGCTCAGGCAACTGACTCCACCCCTCTGCTACCTTGCATTCATGAGAACAGTGCTTGGTGTGGCACGAGAGTGAATGAAAGTCACAGGCTCCTCTGGGTGTCTCATGGCTTGGTCAGTTTGGGAGTGCAGGGTCCTTGTCCAGGGAAAAGTATTATAGGTGTTGTCCAAGCCTTTGCCAAGAAGTCACTGTATGCTGCCTCCAATCTGCAGCATCTACACAGCAGCTCTACTCCTGTCCTGTAGAAATCCCAAGAGGAAGCCATTTCCCTGACACAGGGCTCCTGAGCATTAGGAAGGGGGTGTGAGGGAGTGAGGGCTGATATCATGGGAGTGTTGGAAACAACATCCCAACTAGCAAGGGGACCAGAAGGGCAGAGAGGCTTACAGGACTGCTGAGAATGTGACGGCATAAATGATGAAATTACAGACTTTAAAAGGATCTCCACATCTGTTTCCATGCCCAGGAATATGCATGGAGAGATCTGGAAGAACAGCGCTTGGCACCCCAAAAGGGTCTGTGAGGAGTCAAGGGGGGGCCTGGGGTGACAAGACCTTGTCCCATTCACAGTGTGTCTGTGCACCATTCATTTACCCTCCTCCCATGTGGGGTTTTCACTGAAGAGGCCAACATAGACAGTGACCCAGACACAGACTCAGAAAAAGATTGAGAGTGACCCACAGAGACAGAAATGGAGACAAAGGAGAGACTGAGAGAAAGGCACACAGAGAGACTTACAGGCAGAAAGATACACAGAGGCAAAGGGATGGTTGGGTGGAAATATCCTGTAAATAAAGCTGTCCCAAACCTTTTGCTAGGTACAACTATCAGCTGGAGAAGACTGTAGACATGGCTCCATTTCGATGAAAATTAAGGAAAGGCTATATGACACAGGATTACGTAAAAACACACGGCACACAGTGCCTATTTATGTAGACGATAAAAGTTGTCATCTCTGGGATGTTAACAGGGAACGTGGACACAAGTAGGATTCTTTGTCCTGTGCTGCAAAAGAGAAAAAACGAAGAGAACATCGCACTGAGTGACAGAAGCCAGGCAGAAAAGATCCAGTCCTGTGTGATTCCCTTCACAGGATCCCTGGAGAGTGAACTCCAGAAACAGGCAGGTGGTGGTGGCCAGGGCCTGGGGACATGGAGGAACTGGAGGTGAGAGTTCATGGCAACAGAGTTTCCTATGGGGAAGGTGAGAAGGTCTGGAGATGGATGGTGATGATGGTCACATAACTATGGGAACATACTTAAGTGTTGCTGCGCTATACACAAATCTGGTTAGAAAGGCAAATTGTAGATTGTCACTTTTACCACAATAAAAAGGATACACAAGCATGAAGGACACAGCCCCCACTAAGCAGCGTGGGGCCTTCCAGGACCTGGTGACAGAGCAGGAGGATGGGCCACTAACTGGGCCAGCAGGGCTGATGGACACGGCTCCTAGCAGCCCTCACTGCATCTTCACACAGATGTCTTGGTCCAAGAGCCAGGAAGTCTCACCTATGAGATGGGCCTGGCTCTCAGTGCCAAGCTCTTCTGCTGCAGTTTCCATGGTCACCGCATTCCACCCCTCCTCCATCCCCACCTGCCAAGTTCTGAGCTGCCAGCTCACCAGAACAATGACACTTGTCCTCCATGTTGGCTCTGGCACTCTCAGTGTACCCTGCCTCTCTGCCAGCCTTTGGGGACAGTATAATGGCCCATTGAGATCCATGTGACCATCTCCTCTGTTTTCCTTCAGAAACAGTATCTCACATCAAACACACATGAGGACATTGTAAAAAGGCAGCAGCAGTGTACAAACATGAGGGTTAGAAGAGGCACCCACCTGGACGGGATTTCCATGTGAAAGGCCACTGATGCTCAACACATTGGGACAGATGCTGTTTCCTTTAGGCGAAATGAGCCCTTCTGGTCAGGCCTTGACTCACACTTGCTGCAATAAGGTGGGCAGAGCCCTCCTTTGTGAGACACCGGCCTGCTAAAGTGGGGACAGCAGCTTCAGAGGGAGCTTCTGTAAGAAATGGAGCTGTCACAAAGCCAAAAGGTATCATTCTGGCACTAGTTAGCACTAGATGTCACACAGAAGTCACAATAGCAGCGGAGTCCTTTGCTTACAGCACTTCCGTAATGAGAAATTTCTTCCAAGCAAGTGAGCAGAGATGTGTACAGAGATTTAAGGGCAAAGTACACATGAGAGTATATCTGGAATGAACAGAAACATCCTAAAATACATTTAGAAGACACAGTCACTAAAACGTTCTATAGCCTTACTGTGTTACCCAGAACCTCAAACTCATGTTGAAGAATAATTTAAGAAAATAATTTCCAACTCTGCAAAGTGAAAAGATTTCAAAGATATGTGATTAGTGTAATTCTTACTTTTTTTAAAAAAAGAGAAAAGTAGAGAAATGGAAGGAGAAAAAAAGAGAGGGAAGTAGTGAAAGAGGAAATAGGGAGGGAGGGTGGAGTGGATGTGGGGCACACAGGGCAGTGAGCCTTTTGGGGGTGTGAGTAAAGCAGGTCCGGAGATAGGTACCTGATCCTGCAGGGGCTGGGTATTCCCCGTGTCCTCACAAGGGGCTGTGGGAGCAAGCAGGAGGGGAGAAGTCAGTGAAGCAGATGGGAAGGTGGAGAGGGATGGGAGGATGGCAGGGGGCTGCACTGCCGGCTCTGTGGCTGGAGGAAGAAGTGGGAGACACGAAAGGGGCAGCCCTGGGAAGCCAGAAGGGAGGAAATGAGCTCTGGCTCACAGCCCTGAGAAAGGGAGCCCTGCCTGGGATGTTCTATCCACAGCTTGGCTTCAGCTCAGTGAGACTAACACATTTCAGACTTTTTAACTGGTAATAGAATAAGATAATATTACATAAACAACTCAGTTTGTGTGCCAAATGCTATATGAATGCAAACAATTGGATGTGTTCTTAATTGTCCTGTAAAATATTTGCCTCTTTTTCTGGATTGAATATGCTATCTTTTAAGTCAGAAATAATGGTGGAACACAGGAATTTCCCTCCCTTGTCTATACCCTTTCGGTGGTTTTGGTATCTACTGCAGTCCAAGAGCCTGGCCCCTGCAGACACAGAGACACTCTGATCACAGCATGTGCAGCTCTTCTGTGACCCAGACCTGGCTTCCAAGCATAGCCATGTACTCACCAGATAGCACCTCATCTGCAGTGACAGGAGAGGACTCAGGCCTCAGAGAAGCCAGCTCACTTGCTCAGGGCCACACAGCTATGAGGCAACATAGAAGGCTTTGCAGCAGGCAAGTTGGCTCTGTGGTTTTGGAGTACTGAGGGCCTAAGTTAGCAGACACTGCAGAGGCAGGTAGAACCCAAGCACAACTCTAATCTCACAATCCCCCGTGTATCCACTCTTGGTCCCTGTGTCTCTGTAGTTCCCTCCACTGAGCACGTGGAGCCTGCTCCAATCCTTGGGGCTCTGGGTTTGGCCCTGCTCTGTGCTTTGGCCATGGAAGGTTGGCAGCTGTGAAATGACCAAAACCAGGACATACAGCTCTATGCCTGGTCTTGCTCTCTGTTGCCCCACCACAGACATGGTCCAGGTCAGGAGGAAGGAGAGAGGTACATAGGCTGGAGCCCTGCCCAAATCAGCCACTGATGTGCAAACTCATGGGCTAAGTAAATACTTTCTACTGTACACTGCTGTGCAGTTGTAGTTTTTTGTTACAGGGCATTATTGAGACATTAGCTAACTGTGTCCCTGACTCTGTTGTAATTGCATGCTGATCGGCCTTACACCTACTTGCAAGTTATAAGCAGATAATCAGTACTACAATATACTCGACTTGCTTTAAAGATCTGAAATATTCTGAAGATACCCTGAAATTTCTTTCTCCTCACTTCCTTTTTTGTCGTAGGGGCTGAACCCAGGTTCTTTTATGCATGTGCTCTACCACTGAGCTACACATCCAGCTCCATTGTTGTGATTTTCTTAAAAAAGCTATAATGGGCTAGGGGTTTAGCTCAGCAGTGTAAGTTCCTGCTTGGCAAAGGCGAAGCCGTGAGTTTGATCCTTGGTATCAAAAAAAACAAAGCTGTAATGTCAGTAAATCATAGACCCAGTACATTCACTCAAAGACACAGTTATTTATTTTGTTAAAATCAAGCACGATACTCCATTGATCAGTAAGTGGAAAGTGTCAAGCATGAAAAACGTACACATTTGAAACAGTATGCTGAGGACACAAGCCGCACACATCCCACAGGAGGGAAAACCCACTCCGCAGACTTCACAGCTCTGCTATGACAGGGACAGGAATCAGCCATCACCTCCCAAAGCCCAGGGCCACTGGCAGCACCGTATTTTTTTTATAGCAATAATACATCTGTGTAGAGTTATGTACATGGAGACCTCTTTCACGTCCTGTGGCCCAAACCTTACAGAGACCAACAGAAAACCAAAAGAGGAGCGTGTGACAAGTGCTTGGCGAAAGAACACCAAAGCACTGTGTGTTACTAAGTATAAGATGGAGTTCAAAAAGACATGGAAAGGCTGAGAACGGACATACACATTTGATTATTCACATTTCACATGTATATTATTAAGATGGTTACAAAACTCAATTGCAGGGGAAAGAATTATGGGTCAAAAACAATTTTTTTGTCTGAATTATAAACAAAATAATCAAGTTATTCATGAGGTCTGTGGACGGCCAGAGGCCTGTGTTCCCAGCAAGGGGCTGCCAGGTGGAGGGGAGGATGAGCTGCCACCACAAAGTCACACAGCTCATGGGAAATAGGAATTGCCACCTCTGGGAAGGCGCACTTCTTCCGGCCCAGGAGGCTGCCAGGAGGTGAGTTATCAGGGGTGTGTGTGTGTGTGTGTGTACATGTCAAGAGGAAATCTGTTCATTCCTTAGGGGATCAAGAAGAAATAAGGGACAAGTATTAAATAAATATCCAGTTATCTGAGGGACTGGCTCACCATTATCCACGGCTTTAGTCAGATGAACTTTTTCTAACAATACACGTGGCCTATGATTATTAGGTGAAAACCAGCGAGCCATCAGCAGCTGGACATGGTTGCCCATGCTTATCAGCCCCGTGTGCATCTTCTCGGGTGAACTGTCTGCTCAAGTCTGTTGCCCCCTAAGTGGGCTGTTTATTTTCATGCTGGTGGGTTTTCAGAGGTCTTCATACATTCTGGGTACAAATCCTTTGTCAGACCCATCATCTGCAAACACTTCCTCTCAGTCTCCAAGTGCCAATGGAAACAACAGCATCACGATATTATTTAATGAGGAAGTCTCTCTTTGGAGTCCGGCCATCTCAACCCCCCAGAGAGGCACACAATCTTAAATTCCGCAGCAGAGAAGGCTCAAGTTTAACAGTTAAGATAGAGCACAGGTCCCCAGGAAAGGGAGAGGAAAGCTCTCATAGTATATGGAATGTGGTCCTCAATGTTTGTGGACCAACTTGGTGGCAAAACAGAAACAAAAAAACAAAAAACAATGGTCACAAATGACTGTGTGTGCACAAGATTAATGTTCTGCAGGAAACGTAACTAGAAAATATTCCATTGGTCTCAGGAAATAAATAGCTAACAAGCACATGAGTACTGGACACGTGTAGCAAAGTACTCTCACTTGGCTGCAGAACATCATTTAACCTCTGATGCCAGGTGAGAAGGACCACAGTGGTTTGTCTGTCATGTACCTCAGTCCTAAAGCATGCACATCATTTAAGTGGCACTTTTAATCTTAGAGAGAGTGCACCCAACATGTAGGTTGTCCATTTCCCAGCTGGTTTTCAACCATTAGGAAACCATTCACCTTTCCTAAATGTTAATAAATTATCATCCTCATCATGACTTTGCTGGGTCAGGGAATATGTTTACAGGGCAAAGGCAATGGGCACTCACGCTGTGGGTCTGGCATAGACAAAATCCAGGGACCTATCCCTGGATTCATCCTGAGGGAAGATGTCCATCAGGGAGTCTCCTCTCCTGCACCCTGAGGACGTTCTCGGTGTCTTCCTCTGTGGCTGGTTTGGCATCGGAAGATGGAGGCTACAGTCTATGTCCTACAACCCCAGCCTAATGGATCCATAGGGACTGCATCTGCCAGTGCCTAGCATCTCGTGCAGTCACATGTGAGGAAACTGCTCTGTTCCAAAGGGAAACTAAAAGATTCAATAGGTGATCCAAGCCAACGTCCTGATGTTACTATGCCCTGGGATGATGCCACAAAGCTCACATGCACAGGGAGTGGGCCACGGCCATCTTCTGCCAAGCTGACCAGCCACTTACTTGCCTCTTTCGGGCTGCAGGCTGTCAAGCAGGCACTTCAGCTGCTCCTCGCCCAGGTGGATTTTGTCCTCCAGTTCCCTCTGCTCAATGATGAGTGCTGACTTCATCTTCACAAAGTGCTCGTAGTCTGCCAAGCTCTCCTCACTGAGGTAGGCAGCCAGGATGTCAAACACGATGCGCTCACGGCGGTCCAGGTTCTCCTTGAGCTCCTTGGCATCCTCATGCTGCTGGATGAGGACTTTCTGTTTCTCCAGCAGTGACTGCTGTGGGGACACAGAGACAGGAGCCTGGTGATGACCAGGACCAAGAAAGAAGCCCCACTCAACCCCTGAAAACGGGTCAGACTGGGGAGCTGCTACTACGCCTGTCCATTGCATGGTCCATGGGAATCCTGATGTCACTGGAGATAGGATGAGACCCACAAAAACGCCAGGGCTATGGATGACTATGCACCATGTGGCTGCAGCTCTCCTGACGCCACGAGTGGACACCCTGGGTTCTCTCCCTTTCTCCTGGCCTCATTCTCTCCCACCTGCCTTGAATGAATTAACAGAAATTGTGGGGAGCAGTAAAAACAATCAGGAGACCAGAAACCACAGAATTTGCAGGTGCTCCAGAGGGCAAAGGACTTGGGGACACTGTTTCCATCAAAGCCCTTTCCACAAAAATGCCAGGGGAAAGCTAGCAAGAGAAAGACAATGAAATTCCAGGGCAGCAGGTCTCAAGCTCCTGACAAGAGAATTTGTAGGTATAACCACAGAGGACACAGGGAAGAGCAAAAGACAGCAGAGGGGACAGGACAGTGAGTGGCCTGGAGATCAGTCCCCTCCCTCCTTATGAGGGTTCTGTCCCAGGGCACACGCAACAACTCTGTTCCCCACTCTCTTCTCACACAACATGCACCTTGTTTCCCTGCATAAGCCAAGTTGAATGAAAACTAGGAAAGGAAGGGATAGATATAGGGCCCTCACATGCAGGTTGGAAAGTGGCAGGCATTCAGTGTCTTAGCTCAGATCTCTCTCTCTGCTGCAGGGCCTTGCATAGGGAAGCAGAAGCCCAAGTTCTACTAGTGGCTGAGGAGCATGGCAGCTACTCTGCAGCCACTGGGATGCATGCAATGCCACAAAGCACTTTACCACACACCAGGCACAGAAGGGGATTGGTAAAGCTGAACCAGTGCCACTGTCATCAAGCAGCAGCCGGAAACTGCAAGTGGCCTTAGCGTGCCACTTCCGTAAAGTGCCATGGATCACAAAACTTCCGGTATCTGACTCACTTCTAAGGAATGTCTTAGTCCTCAGTGTGAGAATAACAAAAACGCCATGTATTGTCACAGGTGGGGGCATAGGCAGGCCAATTTCCTCCAATGGAAAAGGAAGAAGGATGTCTGAATCCGGAAATGTAACTCAGTTTACAAAAAAATCAGCCAGTCACCAGTGCCTGGCAGCTGCAAATGCATACACATGTGTGCGTGTATTTAGTAATAATAAATGATCACTTTCAAGACCTATCATGTATGAGCACAGAGCGAGACATTTTACCAATAACAGATGATCTCGGAGCTAAAGCCAACAAGGTAGAGAACCTTCCCCTTTCATATATAACAAAACTGAAACAGACCCCTAAGGGACGTCATCTCAGGAGGGGGACAAAATCAGATAAGCCCTCTGATCTTGTCCAGACGGCTAGACACACTCATGTTGAATCACAGTGGCAACAGCACTAAAATGCTATCTGTCACTGAGCATCTCTGGCTTTTAGAAAGAGTAGGAGCTTGGTCTATGGACTGACACAGAGTAAAGTTAAAAGAAAGTCTGCATTCTTAAAGAGTAAAAACCAAGAGGAGGATCTGCAAAGCGTCTAAGGAAGGGAGACCCCAGCAGTGCCGTGTGCAGAGGCGACGTCTCAATTCACTGCACCCCAGCAGCATGCCCCACTCTTTCCTCCAAGGAACACACACCCACGGGCACTGGCAATGCACATGGCATCAGCCCTGCAGGGAGCTGCTCTTCCCATCACCCCGGGGACAGCCTTCCTGGCCCACCCATTTGCAGGTGGCGCATCTGGAATGGATACCCGATCGCCAGGAGAAGGGCTGTCCTCCAAGTTATTGAGGGCATTTTCCACCCGGGCCAGGCGGCCCGACAGTGACAGCAACAGGTTCACCACTTTGTCCAGGTCCCCAACAAACATTCGGAACTTGTCAAACTCATTGGGTTTGCAGACATCTTTGGCAACGGCTTCCACCTCGTCCCCCAGAGCATTGTTGGCCTGGATGTCCTCAAGCAGGCTCTCCCGGGCTTCCCGCAGCACCTGCAGCTTGCGGCCGATGCTGTCTATGAGCTCCTGCTGCAGCGGGATCAGGAGGACACAGAAACACTGGTTAGCACAGCCCAAGCCTGCACCTCGGTGCCAGCAGCCTCCCGCATGCAGTTATGCACAATTGGATGAACCTGTCTTTTGTCTTAGCAGTAATCGGCACAGAACCCAGGGAAGGCTTGGTATATACCAGCCTGATCTTCTTGCCTCAGCCTCCCACAACAGGCACCCCACAGGAATGTGCCACTTTACCTGGTTGTGAGGTTCATTTCTCCACCAATGAATAATAAAGGATTTATTTATGATTTATTTTATTTATCAGTACCGGGGATCGAACTCACGACTGTGTGCTTGCAAGGTAGGCGTTTTTGCCACTGAGATAAATCCTCAGCCCCTACAGGATTTATTGATAAGACTAGAGAAAGGGGAAGGACACCTGGGTAAATTATTGGCATTTAATAAATGAATAAACCAAATTATATACAGTACGCAGAGATACAAAAAAAAATTAAATACATAACTTCTTTTTATTCAGCTACTACCCTGTTAGACCACATTGGAGCTGCCCCCAGAGCCCCTCTCTGTAGGTGCCAGGGCCTACGTGAGGATCTGGGCTTAGTCCCCTAGAAGTTTCCAAATAAAGACAGACACATGGAGAAGTGCTGGGTCTCACATCCAGTACTGAACCCCTTAACTTTAAAACGCCCTGTCCTCCTCCTTAGCAATTAAAAATTAAAACCCATCAAGAGCTGTCAGTGAGCTTAACAGTCATTTAATAGAACCTAGTGACTTCATTTTCACCAAGAGGCAAATAAATGGCTAGTTTTCTATTATGGAAAAACACAGAGAATTTACCACATAAACTGTTTTGGTGGAGGGTATGGGGCCGAGACGGCAGCTCATGACATCACACATACTAGGCCTGTGCTTTGCCTCCGAGCCACGCCCCTGTACTCACTGCAGCCATCCTGGAAGGTGTGCTCTGTGGCACCAGGCGCATTCACACTGCTGTGCAGACACAAACAGTACACCCACTTGAGCCTTCATCTTTCCCAGTGGAACAGTGTAAAGAGTGAACACTAACACAGCGTCCCACACCAGCCCTTTGAGGGAATCACTTTTAAAGCATGTTGCAGTCAGGGGTTTTGAGGAGAACAATTAGAATCAGGCTAAAGAATTTATAATATTATTTTATGATGGTCACCCAGAGTTAAACAGAAGAAAGTGCAGCAAATCTGCCCACAACATTGAAGACCCAGAATTTTCAGCCAAGGGCCTGGATCCCACAGCAATGTCCTGCATGAGTCCAGATGATGACCTATAGCTGATGACAATGCCTCCCACAAGTCCAACTGAAGGTCTAGAGCCTATGAGAAGGATTCACGCCAGTCTCTTTTACAGATCTGTTCTAGGAAGGCCCAAAGGTCAGCAGTGGAAGATAGAAAGTCTATGCCAGTGGGTGAAGGAGCTGTGCTGGTAGATTGAGGGTTCTCCACTGGAGCTGAGAAGTCACTCACAACAAAGACCAGGGCTGTCCTGAAAAGTAACACAGCCATCCTCAGCGACATGGAGGTCCTGAGCTCCTCTGATAATAATAACAGTCGAGTACATGCCAGAAAGCCAGCATGACAAGCTTCTTCTGGAGATTAAATAGCAAACATCTTCCCCTCTGGAGTCAGGAAGCAATGCTCAATGTTAGGACCAGGGCTCCCCCAAAGTGAACCACAGCCACCCTCACTAAGGTCTCAAGCTCCTCTGATGACAATGGTCGAACTCACACTGGGGAAGCTGGTCATGACTAGCTCCTCCAGGAGAACCAGTGGCTCAAACAGCAACACTTAGAGAGACTACAATGCCCAGGTCGTCTTCTCCACTTCTCTACGCGGGCAACTTTCCTCAGGTGGGCCATCTACAGTCAGCACCACGCTGATTTAATTCAGCTGGTGTTAAGTTGACCACCAGGTTTTAATCCATAACAAAGCATCAACCAAAGACATGCTATATTAAACCCTTTAAAGCGGCTGACACCCTGCAGTGAAGCAGCACCCTGAGGCCTGATGTGAGTTAGGACAGAAACAGTGATGCTTTTTGCCACCATCGTCCTGGAGAACACTTCTCAGGATGGTTACGCAGGAGTCTGTCGGGAAAGGCTCCCTCTAAAAAACTACCTCCTAACAACTAAGCCTGCCTCCCCTGCCACTGAGCCTGCCCGCGGCATAAGCCAAAGGCTATCTACCCTACCAGGGTGAATGCTAAGGCAGCAACTGTCAGAAGGATCAGTGTATGAGGGGGGGGCATGTTCTCAGCCTGGCATCTGGAGCTGGTTGAGATCATCAACTGACTGCTAGCTTGGAGAGTAAGAGATGAAGGCTCATGTCCACTCCGCAGGACAGAACGTCCTATGGCAATGCAGGAGCAGCAGTGGCCGTCCACAGGGGTGGGCTCAGGTGGTCAAGAGTGCCGTGTGTCACAGCACACTTGAGGTACCTGGCACGTGTCAGCTATCGCCAGCATGGGACAGGAACAGCTGGCCTCATGGCATGCAGCACGAGTGAGGAAACACCAACATCGTGCTATCCATATGAGCAGGGAGGTAATTCTCCCTAGGAGAAACCCCAAACCACTGCAGGCCATCTGCAGTTCACATGGAGGGCTGCATCTCAGATGCTCTGTAAATAGCATCTCCATCTAGCATTTCTGTAAGCAAAACAAACAGTAAAAAGCTGGCGCCTAGGAAAGGGCTGCCACCTCTTGGCTCCATCTGCCTTCAGTGGCCTGGTGTGCCCCACTCGCCTGCAGATTAGCAGTATGCAGTTTTCCAGGTTACCAGGCCCCACTGCAATTCAGACACACAGTTCTTGCCCTAGAAGGACCATATGGGATTTATAAATTGCTTTGGCTTTTCTAGGTCAGGTTCCCAAAATACAGAGTGGCAAGACATTTTCTTTCCCTACGATTTAAATAAGAACATGTCTAAACTTCCTTTATGTTTTCTCCCTCCTCTCTCTCTCTCTCCTCTCTCCTCTCTCTCTCTCTCTCTCTCTCTCTCTCTCTCTTTCTCTCTCTTCCTTTTGTAGTGCTGGGGATGGAACCTAAGGCCTTGCCGATGTCAGGCAAGGGCTGTTAACACTGACCTACATCCCCAGCCCTTTTAAAAATATTTCTCCCCTCATCCTCTCTCCCTGTCTCCCTCTGTGTGTGCATGCTGTTTACTTGGCTATCTGCAAAAATAATTTAAATCAACTCCAAATCCCACAGCTGAGAACACAGCCCCATTTTAAACAGTCATCATTTGAGGGCAAAGCATGAAATAGAAAACACATGAGAACTTCCCCAATCCCTGCCCAATGCCAGTCCTAAGCTGAATGAACAGCTCAAGGAATGGAGCTCCCCAGAGGCACAGGAGGACCCCTAGCAAGTGCTTCTCACAGGGACATTGTCTTTTTGTTTTTTGGTGGTAGGAGTGGAAGGGCTTTGCTGGAGATGGAACCAGGGCCTCGCACTCAGTAAGTACATGCTATACTCCAAGAAAAAAGCAATGTCTTTCCTCTGTGGGTTCTGTGTCCACTCTCTGTTCCCCAAAATAACCATAATCCTCAAAGACTTCAAATTTACACAGGTCCTATCATATTTAAAAATCAATCCACGGTATTTTTAAAAATCACTAACAATACAAGCATCCTTTCAACATAACAAAGATCTTGTTTAAAAAAAAAAAAAAAACCAGCAGTTTTTATGGACACTGTTTCTGCCACACAGGGCCCACAGCAAGCACAATGTCACCACCTCTTTTCTGTCCCCAGGGCTCATAGCTGAGGGGGCAGCCAAGGCCCAGGAAATAAACCACAGACATGCCATCCCTGCACCAGACTTTGGCCAAGCCTGCATCCCTCATATACACCGTCCTCGGTGTCATGGCCTAGCCTGCCGACCCATGTGTAGACAGACAGCTGATGCAGCAGTAATGATGTCGGCCAACTGTGTCCCCACAGTGATCATCATGGCTTTCGCCCATAATTTGTTTCTTTATCCATTCTAATGTCATCTCCAACCTGCCTTCTCTTGTTCCCTCAGTTCCTGGCCCTGACCCCTGCTGCTTCTCCTCAGGACCTGTGCACCCCTTCACACTCCCCCACATGTTGGACCTTCCAGGGCTCACCCCTCACGCCCTGTCTATTCAGCCATGACCTTTGCTGAGCCCCTCTACAATCACAGCCATTTGTCTCAGTCTCTTTACCCTGCTCCAGCTGCTCTCACCATCTGACAGAGGACATTGAGGGCTGGCAAACTTCATCTGTCGAGGACCAGACAGTAAACGGTTCAGACTTTGTAGGCCTTGCAAACACTGTCATGACTTGGTTTTGCTACCATCTTACAAAAGCCACCATATGCAAATGAGATGTGGCTGTACTCTGATAAAACTTTATTTACAAAAACAAGTTATGGGCCAGGTTTGCTGAGCCTGCTCTGTACTGTACATTTGTCTTTGTGGTGGTGTCCATGAGTACTGACCCATGAGTACACAGGCTCCCTCAGAAAAGGGTCCTATTCTGTTTGTATTCTGTCTACTGCTGAGGCCACAGGAGCCAGGCTAAGTACTTGGGAGTGAAACACTTTTGATTCACAAAGCACTTTCTGTCATAGGACAGGGTCTCACTATGCAGCCCAGGCTGGCCTCAAACTTGTGATTCTCCTATCTCCTGAGTGCTGGGATTACAGGCATGCACCACCACACCCTGGCCTCGAGAAGGTATTTTATGATTGACTTTGGATTTACTTAAAATCATCATGTTATGGATATTTGAACTTGATATTTAAAGAGGACAGGGCAGGTGACACATTAAAGGCTACACAATTAAGTCTCCTGCATTTTTCTTTAGGTAGAAAAGACGTTAAAAGCTCAACAGCAAGTGAGAATACAGAGAATTAACCACAAAAGGCTTGCTCATTTGCCTTATGTTTCCTTGTCCTACGGGAGTACAAAATGCAAATGCCCTGACATGGTGCAGGGTTAGTGCAGTCCCTTCATTTTAAAATGGGGTTTTGCTGTGTTGCCTATACTGGCACTGAACTCCTGGGCTCAGGTGATCTCCCTGCCTCAGCCTCCTGAGTAACTGGATCTACAAGGCACCAGCCACCATCTAGAGCTCCAGTGTGAGGTTCTAGTGTGGAATTCCCTTTCCTACCTTCTTCAGTGACAGGTCATGATCTAAGTCGCTGCCTGAATCCTCCTCAGGCTCTTGCTGCTGCTTCAGGTCCTTCATCTTAATCAGTAGTTCTGCCTTGGGAGCCGACGTGCTGTAGTAGGTGGAATTAGTGGCCAGGGACATGGCCGCCAGCACCATTGGCTCCTCCTTCCTGGATAAAGAGGTCAGAACTTTAATTAGCTGCAACAGTATGCACAGATCTGCTCCCCAAGTTGTGACAAATGAAAGCTGGCACCAGCAGAAGGAAAACCAACTGGGATGAAACAGCCAGAAGAGGAAAAGAAAGCAGATAACAAGGTTAAAATGAAAACAGTAACAAACCTTGGCAAATGGGTGCTCACAAAGTCCATGGTAGTGGTTTTTACTGTTGGCTTCATTTCTTGGTGCGGGAGACTGAACTCAGGCCGCGTGCACACTAGGACGTGCTCTACCACTGAACCACATGCCCAGCCCAGGGTAGGGGAATTTTTAACAAGGGCAAAAACCTCAAATAAGCAGAACCATTTTAAATTTGTGCTACAGAGGTGACAGCCCAGATTGTGCATGTGGAGACCTGGGGGTGACAGGGATGAGGACGACATAGATAATACTACAAATGCCAACCCTTTCACAAGTGGTCTCCTTGGTTCCCCTTGAGCCTGGCTTAGATTTGTCCTTATTCCTCTTCTGCTGCCCTTCAGAGAGGCACTGCTCTGCTACCCCTAAATAATGCTTGTGGCGACAGAGGACATGCCATCAACAGGAAAGATGGCACTGTACACCCCAATGCAGTCAAATGCGTGTTACTTACAAAACTAACTAAAACCAATGTGCAGAAGATGACCTGGGCACCTCTTCTTGAACACAGAACAACTGCTGCAACATTAGTTAAATTGAGTCTTATTTCCATGTACTGATATGTACAGATCCAGCTATGCTATTCCCTTCCCCCTTCAATTGGCTCCAAGTGACACACATAAGGCCAACTAAGGTACTAATATGTGATCCTCAAAGCCAATCTTACAAGGTTCCTGTTTCCTCCTTATAGTGCACCCTGTAAAGGACTGAAGCACAGAGATGGCAGAGCCACTCAGCTCCAATAATGTCAGCTGGGTACGTCCCTTAAAGTAAGAGATATGAATTCCCAGGGCACAAAAGTTTACATATCAGAAACTGAAACAACAGCCTCCTTAAATCATTCCAATGCTACCCTCATTGAGTTATGCAGCCTGATCCATCTGCATGATTCCTCCCTGCATATTGCAAAGATGCTTTTCTCCCCACCTGACTAACTAGCTCAAGCTACTCACGTAATTCCCGCTGTCCTGTCACTCATCTTTGAACCACTCCCTTCTTCACGAGATAGTAAGTTATGGGAGAGGCCTTGGATCAAGCCCTTGATCCCTATATCCTCACTTGGATGGGGCTTAGGACCCCTTAGCTGTCTATAACTTTAAATATGTTTTAGTGTCTTTACTGTCACCACAGATTACACTGAAAGTGGCAGATTAGAATTAATCCATTGGAATTCCAATAACGTTTCTATGAGATTACAAATATAACTCTCTGGATTATGAGGTGGACTGGAAAAAGATTACAATATTTGGATTACAATATACAGTATTTGGATGACAATATATAATATTGGGGTTTCAGTACCACTGTGTTCACATAGAGGTTAATACATTTTTCCCTCCAACAAACTGTCCAGCAGTGTCCCTGTAGCAATAGGTAGCCTTGAGCCACAAGGCTACAATCTGCCAACTCTTGGTATACATGCCTTCCAGGGACCTCCATACCTTCTCTGGATCCTTTCTATCCCAGCTTTGTTTGCTCACTTTTAAAACAGGCTGAAAGCATTATGCTGGTCTCTTCCCACCAGAGACCAAGATCTTCCTGTCCAATGTACCAGCCCAAGCATCCCTGGACAGAACTGACTGGCCCTGGGGCAGTCAATGACCTCTCCAAGAACCTGTCTTAAGGAAAGGAACCCTGCAGGCATCATGCTGACCAGGCAGCCTTTGGCCACAGACTTGAGGTGCTGCACAAACTTTCCTGCCTTTGCCAGGCCCTAAGGTCGGCACGCCTGCAGCCCAATGTCTCTCTAGGGATACCTGTGGAGAAGCCATGGGAACTGGGGGCTCCTAGGAAAATCTGTCGCAGGCCGAGAAGGCAATCACAGAAATGCACAGATAGATAATCCCTCTTCCTCCCTTTTTACTCTTAAGAGATATGGGCAGAATCACCAACCCACTGGCGTCTACTCACTTCTCCTCTGAGGTCCTGGGAGAAGGGATTTTGGGGAGCAGCTTCCTCCGCTGCTGAGCCTCCTCCAGAAGATGCTCGTCTTTGGGGAAGATTCCTTCCATCAGGTCCATGGTGGTTTTGATTTTCATGCTGGGATCTAAGATGTCAGCCAAGGACTTATCCTTGCCCACGATCTCCCTGGCTAACTCCTCGGACTTCAGGTCCTCTGCGGTCTTCTCTTTGGTCTTTGCATAGCTGAACCCTGGAGGGGAGGCACAGACATCCGATGCAGGGGCCATGGGAGGCACAGAGGACTGAGGTACAGGTGGCTGGGCCCTCGGTGTGGCCTCGGCCTCGGCCTCGGCCTCGGCCCCCTGCCGTGTGTACACGCAGAAGCGGGAGTAGCTCTGCTCTGACGTGCTGAGCGTCTTGATCTGGTCCCGCTCCAGCCCTCTGGGCAGCGCAGGCAGCTCGGCCAGGCGCACCAGGCTCTGGCGGCTCTCCTTCTCGGGCTGGCTCTCTGAGTGCACAATCTTGATGGGCACCATCTTCACCGTGGTGTTGTTGTCTATCACTCGCTCGATTCTGGAAGACAAGGGCCTGACTCTGAAACCCTGAGATGGACACCACCCTGCCGGGGCACTCAACTGGCAAACGCTGCCAGGTCGCATGTGCTAGAGGAGGCTGAGAAGGTGCATCTGTAAAAGCCCTCCACACTGGTCCCCTGACCTACAGACCACACCCCTACTGGCTCGGAGGGCAAGAGCTGGGTAGCTGGCTGACTGAGTGACTCGAGGATAGGCCCATATTTCCTTGTTTTCATCCCATTCATAATGCAGACAGTGACAAGTTCCACCCAGTTATTCTTTTTTTTTTTTACTTTTAATTTTAAAGAGGAAAAAAAAGAGAGAAAAATAAAACAATAAAATCAATCAAAATAAACCAGAATAAGTGATACCAGACTTCCAAACCTTATGAAATCATTATTAGTTACCACAATGCTTATTTTGCCTTCAAAAGAGCTACAGATATAACATTTGGACATATTAAAAATGGAACAGAACAGGGTAGAACAAAAACAATAAAAACAAAACAATGAATGCAATAAAGAACCTCAAAACAAGCCAGTAGTAGATACATAATGGCTTCCATAACATGTCTCGCTACCTTTCAAATAGCTGTTCATGCCATCAGAACAATATAAACAAAAGAAAATAAACCCCAACCCAGAAAAAAAAATGGAAATGATATGGTTTCGGGGGTGGGGGGTCTCCTCCCATAGGGCCTGGTTCTCTCCCTCAGAGATCCGTGAATGGCACTGACTCACAGAGACAGGCTTGGGTCTGGCTCTCCCCAGGCCAGCAGCAGCCCTAAACTTTTCTAGTACAGGAGACTTGCAGTGGAGTCAGGGCAGCCCCTGGAGGGCTTCCATAAATATCGATGTTTGGCTGAGTGCCCCCACCCAAGGAGTGCACCCAAGCCTCACCTTGCATAGATGTCACACCAGGGAGAGGATCCACAAAACACCAGGGAACTCACTGGCTCTGTATCTCAGTCATGAACATGTTCAAAAGGCACCTGTTTCCTTCTCAAAAAGATAGGTCTTGCTGGGTGTGGTATTCACCTATAATCCCAGTATTCAAGAGGCTGAGACAGGAAGATCACAAGTTTAAGGCCAGCTCTGGCTATATAAGTGAGCTCAAGGCCTGAACTACATATTGAGCCTTATCTTAATAAACAACCAAAAACAAGTTTCTTGGTGAAAGGGGACAGGGAGGTGTCTGACGTATTCACAAGAAGTAAGAAAAGTGAGGAGAAACCGCTTAGTCAGCACTACAAAGCCTGGCCTGGGACAACTCAGGAGCAGTGGGGCTTGGCCAGGGCTCTCAGGACTGGCTGTTTGCACAGGATTTAGGGAAGAAACAGAGCCACCTGCCGGTTTCTGAAAGGGACAAATAGATGAACCCAAACTGAGAGGGGAAAAGAGAGGACCCAGAGTTCTGTGGAGTGAGGGAAGCTATATGGCTAGTGAGCAACGCTCCCTTCTAAGTGAAATGCTGGTTCTCACCCCTCACTGGACCAATCAGAGGGACACAGGAGGACTCCAGCTCCTTAGGAGACGGTGCTGCACATGCCAAAATGAAATGATTTTCTATTTTCTTCCCTCACTCCTGGAGACATAGTAAAGACCTGACAGGTTTTACCTGGATTCTAATACGATCTACACAACTCCTTTCTCATGAACCACTTTTAAAAAGTCTACCTCTGGAAAACCTTGTTTAGATACGTTGACTTTAACAAGCCAAAGTCTGCCATCTTAGCCAAGCAAGAACAAACAAATAAACAAAACCTTTGCATTTACTCCTTCCTGTACTTAGGAAATAGGATCACCTCTTACTAACCATTAACTCAGCTTAGATTTCTGCCCTGGCTCATTTGTGGAGAGATTTGATTTCCGGTGAAGGAAAGCTAGCAGAAAAAAATTAAGTATTGAAAACAAATCTTCCACAGGCTAACATATATCTTTTAGAAAAGCATCTTTACCTGTCTGTCTGTCCATCTATCTACCCACCCATCCATCTACGGTGCTGGGGGTGGAATCCTGGGCAGTGCATATGCGAGGCAAGCACTCTTCCCGGGAGCTACATCCCCAACTTTTCCTGGTCATTTCTAAGCACAAATGGATCTCTTATCTTAAAAAAATGGTCAGGATGTCTACTTTTAAAAGTCTGATGGCAAGTAAAATACAGGAGATTAGACCTTACTGCTAAGGTCACCATTCGTATCAGAAAACAGGCCTGCAGGGATGGAGGAGGAGGAGGAGGACCTGGCCCGCAACTCCTCCCAGCACATAAGCCTGTGGGTCAGTGGACTCCCACTGTGCTGTCCAAAGCTCTACACGTGCCACGCTGCCATCTGTGGACCTGCCTGCCATTCTGGGTCTCCCAAGCTACACCATCCGCTGTGACATCCACCATGCTGACCATTCACTGTGTCTGAAGGGGCCTCATCTGCTCTCTGCTCATACACACTTCCAGACATAAACAAAAAACATGCTGAAGAACCCTTCTGAGAGTAAACAGACCTCTAGTGTTTGCAGGGACAGTGGCTAATGCCTAGAATCCCAGCATTCAAAAGGCTGAAGCAGGACAGTCACGAGTTTGAGGCCATCCTGGAATCTACAGGGAGTTCAAAATCAGCCTAGGGGAGGCAGGAGAGGAAAGGGAAGGTAAGGGAGGGGAGGGAAGCGGGAGGGGAAAGGAGGTGAGAAGGGGGAGGGGAAGGGCAGAGAAAGGAGGGGTGAGCGAGCCCCCTGCCATAGGTGGCGATCCTGAGATCTGGATATATGACTTCTAGTAAGAGTTGAGGGAGGATCCTGTCAGTAGGGGGAGGTCCCCTCACCCAAACACTTGGTGATGCACTCCAGGTCAGCCTCAATATGCAACCTAGGCTGGCTTCAAACTTGCAGTCCTCTTTGATCAGATCACAGGCACCCACCAGTATACCAACCCCAGCCAGCTTTTAACATTTTTTAAAGCAGGGGAAAAAGAAATATGAAAATATTGGTCAGGGGCTGGGGATTTAGTTCAGCGGCATAAGCGCCTGCCTTGCAAGCAGGCAGTCGTGAGTTCGATCCCTGGTACTGATAAAAACGAAAAAGACAAAAAAATATATATATATATTGGTCATTATGTAAACATCAACTTCACCTAAAGATGTTACATTTGGGATAGCCTTGATTCTGATCATAAGTATGAAATGATTTTCTTTTTTTTTTTTTTTTGTATTTTTATCGGTACCAGGGATCGAACTCACGACCACACGCTTGCAAGGCAAGTACTTATGCCACTGAGCTAAATCCCCAGCCCCAATGATTTAAAAAAACTCCACACCCCAGATCTGCAGACATCTGAGGGCTAACACAGGAATAAATGCATTTGGCTTGCAAGGAAAGGCCAGCCATCCTGGGTGGACAAGGACAGCCCCTAATGAGTTGGGGCTACATCCAATCACTTGGAATCGTGCTTCCCCTACAGGACATGTTTCCATCCTGGGTCCTAGGCTGAAGCAAGGTACCAGCCACCGACCACCCAAAGGCACATACAAAACCATGCCTACAGCAATGGGGTGGACGGGATGCCCCTAGCTGGACAATACCTTGTTGAATGCTCATCATGGATGAGGAGTGGGGGCTTGTCTGTCAGCTTCTGGGGGGCAAACTGAGGTGAGGGGGATCGAGAGGTTTCCATGGCAAACGCCCGCAGGTGCTGAAATTTGGAGGAAGGCAGCGCTTCTGGCTGAGGATACAGCACGTCCTCTTTCACATGCTGGCTGTCACGCTCACACGCAGTGGCCTTCGGGGTGTCTTGGGGCTGAGCACTACTCAACACAGACTGGTTGCAAGACAAGGCCAGGCAGGCCACAGCAGCATTCAGGGGCACGGGTGGCAGGACAGCCAGGCGAACATCTGCAGGGGCTGTGTCCGGGGTCCTGTGCTTCCGGGGCTCGCGCTTGGGCGGCGGAGGTCTCTGTGGGGCTGGTCTCTTCGGAGGTGCGGCAGTGCTCACTGGATACAAGTCCTGTCCCTGAACTGGCAAGGGCGAGGGGGCGCCCTGCACTTGCAGTCCCAAGTCTGCAGGTGTGTTCTCCTCCGAGTACCTATAATCCCGGGGCAGGGTCCCTGCTCGACCCCTGCCCTCTCGGGGCAGTTCGGGGGTTTCCCAAGTTGGAGTTGCACTGGACACCGCAGACAAGGGCCATGCACTCTGCTTTGGCGGGTCCTGCCGTGCTGCTGGACTGGCCTCAGGACATTGAGCATCTGTTTGCCTAGAGGAAAAACAAATAAAAGTTAGCCACAGGTTCCACCAGACACCCTCTCCCTATGTGGGACTGGACCCACTGTCTTGACAATCCTTTGGAGTCGCTGAAGGTGTTACATCCAGTTATACTTTCCCAGACCTGAGTCCACAACAATGTAAGGTGGCATTCATCACACAATACCAACAATATGACACTGTACAAGGTATGTTATGTGAGGAACTGAGGCATGAAACAAGACCCATACACACCTCAGATACAGATACATATACACAACTACTATGTTCTTTTAGTTTCAAAAATTACACAAAATTGTGGAAAACAATGTGGAAATTTATAGCTATACTGAGAACTATTTCATTCCAGTTGCAGTATATTCATACTGCTTCTCAGAAACTGCCATAGACACTAGGGTGCATTATCTTTAGATGGACTAGGAATCAATTCAGTCACAAATCTTTAAAATCCAATAATGTAGCCAGGGCTATAGCCCAGTAGTACAACATCTGCCTGGAAAATGCGAGGTTCAAATCCTGATGCACATCCCCCTCCCACACACACAAAAGTCTTATGACAAGAAAATGGCCACTTCTTCTGGAAGCAGTGATGACCTGTGAATCTGCTCACAACTTTACCATACCACATATATGTGCACACCCTTACACACATGTGTCCCTTACATGTGTGCAGGCTTCATGCATGTGCTTATCCATGTCACTGCTAAAGTGCACAGGCTCCAACTGCGACACGGGCACAAGTCAGCCCACTGCATGGTTTTGCCTGAGCTCCGCTTCTAGCCCCAAAGTAACAAAACAATCTTCTGATTTAAGGTAAGAACTGCTTTTATTTTTTATAAAATGACATATGAGCACTAGAGTGCATAACTCAAGAGAAAGGCACTTGCCTATGACATACAAGACCCTAAGTCCTACCCACTGAGTGGGGAGCACAAGGACTCATCAACAGAACCCCAGGCAGCAAGTGGAGATCCAGAGATAAGTTCAAGCACCAAGAAAAGACACAACCCATTCAGCAGAACAGAGGGTGCCCGGTCCTACACAGCACACCGGAGCCGGCTGCAGCCTACAAAAGCACCTGCCTCTCAACTCCTGCCCTGGCACCATCTGGTGATGATCGATATGTGTGTTGTCAGTGCTACAGATGGGTCTGCAATACTGGGTGCAGAATATTGGCAGATGCCAGCCTATGTCCTGCTGCAGGTGGGTAGTAGGTAGCCTTTACGGCTGCTCTGGCACAGAACAAGCCTGGACCTGGTGCCAAGGTCCCCCGAGTCTTCACAGCAGCAAGGGAGCCAGGGAATAGACCCCTAAAGCCAGGAGCTGAAGTCCTCAACATCTGGAAGAAAACAAAAGAGCTCCACCAGCTGCAACTACACTATTAAAGACAGTACAATTGGGACATGAAACCACACCCTCTCCCCTCACCAGAATTTGAGCAACAGGCCCCCAAGGAAGAATAAAAAAAGACCCAGGAAATCCCTAAAGCTCCAGTCTAGTCTGTTAGATACACTGGCATGATCCACAATGACCCTTCCTTGCTCCAAATTCATTAACAGTTCTTATATATGGGCTACATACCACATTTGTAATAACCCACTGAATTATGGGAAAGCTCCTACGCACACAGCAAATACAGCTGAGAGGACTCAGTACTCTGTCAGTCACGTTGTGAATGCCCCAATGACAGGCACCTTGGACAGGGCACATGTTTCCAAAACCAGAAGCCTAACCTACTCCATTCTATCCCTTGTCTCCTTAGTCCCTCGTGCCACTTTTTTCATTTCTGCTGGCACAAACCTACTCACTCTGAGCGCACCTCCCCTGTTAACGTCCAACAAAATAACCACTCTTCAAGTCAGACACAGCAATAGATGACTCAGAAAACAATACTCAATTGAGTAGCTGCTGAGCCACAAAACAGAGGATGACAGTACACTATCAAATTGATGACAGATTCTGAGAAGCACACCTCAAGAGATGTCTCCACACTTCTTTTTTCTTTTTCCAAAAAGTGGAGGTGCGCCTGAACAATTGTCCTCCTATTCCAGCTCTGCAGTCTAGCATCCACAGATCCATCTAAAGAGACCTGGCATCTCTATGTTATTTAATAGCTACCACACCATATTAACAGAAAATCAATTTGGAATAGAATCTAAGTGCCTTTGGTCACCTAGAGGCATATGCGATTTGAAAGGACCTAGAAATGGGAATCTAGGGTATTGCTGGGTTCATACTGCAATCTCGTACCTAACAAGTTCCAAAACAGGACTGTACAGATAAGGAATATGTGTGCATGGCATGTAGATATACCTTCAAGTGGAGATGACTGTGTGCATGTATGAAGGTGCATATGCTATACGATTGTGTTATGTATATATGTGTAAATGTGTACAAATGTATGCTCTGTGTATATGTGTATAGATATGTGTGCTAAGTACAAATAGGCCTGCATTCTGGGGTGTATGTGTGAGAAATCACTCTCATCCACCCACTTAAGTTTGAACAGCATCCTAGGGTCGTTTCGCCTTCTGTTACAGGAAGCTGAGTTAGATAGACAGAAATATTCTAGGCTGGGCCCTCAAAGAAGCCAGTGCAGAAGATCCAGATACCTTGCAACCTTGGAGGAGACAGACATCTTCTGGTATGGGCCAGGCCTCAAGACAAAAGATGAAGCAAGTACACTCACATCCTAAGGATTGATATTCTAAATAGGTCCCCATCACCCTGAGGAAGCCAGGAGTTGGAATCCTAACTCCTACAGAGAGTCACTGCTCTGTTAAGCATGCACGGTTGCTACCACTTGTTATGTAACATGCTTCTCCATCTGTCCCTGATTTAATCAGTTTTACTCAAGCAATTAATCTTATTGATTGACCATAGTTCTGTCCCACCTCATGCCCACCTTGTGAGTTCCCACTTTTCCTCACCTTAGACCTGCCTCACCTTGTGGTTTTGCTCTATAAAGTCCCTAGAAAAGACAGAATCTTTGACAACCCACTCAGGACCCCTTCTGTCTCTCTCAGACATGCTTTCTTTCTCTCAATAAATATATTCTGCTCCTAGTCTCTGCTATTCCTAAAACTCATTCTTTGATTTTAGAGAACACGAACTCATACCAGACATCTAGTAGGTTGAGTGACAGCACAGGGTGGTAGATCTCCTGGCCTGACCTTCAGTCACCTTCACCCTACTCAAACCTTATGAGAGTCCTCAGGGCTGGGAATTTAGCTCAGTGGCATAAGTGCCTGCCTGGCAAGTGTGAGATCCTGAGTCTGATCCCTGGTACCACAAAAACAAAACAAAACAACAACAACAACAAAAAAAACACCTTATGAGGGGGTTCATGAATATGTACTTCCTCTCATAAATAAGAGCAAGGTGAATTCTGGGACAGACATGCATATTGAGAGGCCCCTCCCCCCCAGATGACACGGCACCCTGTGTATCATCCCTATCAATCATACTTAGAAACTCAGTGGGAGGCTGCATATATGGGTAGAGGCGCATATCCTTTAAATTCCAAAACTCAGATTTTTCTGTGTGCTGTGTTCTGTGTGCAATGTTTTTATGTTCTTGTCATCCTGGCACCACTTTTCTGCTCATGCTGTATTTTTGTCAGCACAGACTTGTACAATCTCCCAAGGTCTTCAATACTTGAAGCTGTATTCCACTTGCCACTGAGGGTGTGTGTGTGCTTGCAATCCACTGCTCATTGTACAAAGGAGTCTGGCTCTGATCTGCTACATTCATCACAGTAACGTGTGATGAGACTATCTAGACCTGTGTCTCATATATCCCTTTTCCATACTTTTAAAAATTAAAAAACTAAAAAACCTTAATAGTGGGTCCAGGGCAGGGGATTTAGCTCAGTGGCACAAGCACCTGCCTTGCAAGTATAAGGCCGTGAGTTCAATTCCCAATAGAAAAAAAAAAAAAAGAAGAAGCAGGTCCAAAGACAAGAGAAAGCAAGAGAAAGAAAGGACATAAGGATTCCTTGCATCCACCAAGAAAGTGCCTGGACAGGGAGGGAAGCCACACAAAGGAACTCTGGAAGGCAGCTGCATCCAGGGTCCTGGCAATTGATATTCAGGCCGGCTCCCTCGTTCATTTTCATGCAAAACATGCTAATGGCTTGTTAACAAAGACAGCACTATAGCTCTCAGTGGGGAGAGGTGAGCTGGGCAGGCTCCTGGCAGCAGAGGTTCCAGAAGCCTGCCTGTCCAGCAGAGCACTAGCCCCCATCCTCAGTGGATCCGCCATAGCTGCAGAACCTAGGTGCTTTAGGGTCCCTAATGGGACTGTGGGCCAAACAAAAGGTATCTAGGAAGACCAGCCCTTGAGAAGGGCTGCCTTCAATGCTGCCCATAGGGCAATACACTATCACTGGACACAAACCACTGCCAGGGAAAAAGAATCTAACGCTCTTGAAATCCATCAGTATCCCTATTATTCAAGTCAAAGTTTCTAATCCTGCTATGGGGGGAGAGGACCAGATCCATATCTAATGCCAGGTTTTCATCATGAGAGGTGCCTGTTTTATATCCAGACTCCATCTGTTCACTACATTCTCCCTAGAGTTGCTGGACTTCAGGTCTCCTTTCTGCTCCCCTAGGCTGCATCTGTGCATAGCTGGCTCTGTACTACCCAGGCCCTCAGTCCTGCCCAACTGTCCCTGTCTCATTCTTCACCAAAGCGTGCTCTCCCTGGGCTGAAGCATCTTCTTGGGCCACAAGGCATGTTATACAGTAGCTGTTACACCATCATGCTGTGCCACCCCTGTGGCACGGAGACACACTTCTTAAGCTGGCCAGCACCATCACCGTGCACAATGTTCATGAGAAGAGCGGAATTTTTTCAAGACCCTAGTGGCCACCTCAGTGAAACCACTCATGTTCCAACACTCCCAGCAGAGCTAATCATTCGAGGTTGCTCCAATATCGCTGTTTAATTCACTGTTTCCTGCAGACAAGGTCTACAATTCCTTTACCA